CTTAGAACTGTGCTCTGAGCTCCTTATAGCTGAGGATTTTGGCTTGGGATTTGGGCTAGCTCTGAGCCAGAACAGTGGGCCTTAGGCTAGGTTTCTTGGCACCCCTTTAGCTCTTGGGATACCCTACCTGGGTCTCTCTGACCATCCACTGGGCAAAGTTAGAGGTGGCTCCGCCTTGTGATGAAGCCATGCTCACATCCTGGCCTTTGCCTTTCTTTGCTCCAACTCCACAGCCTTTTCAGCTGCGTTGATTGAGGCAATCGAGTGGCGCTTCCTGTCTGAAAGTTGCTAGGTAATTTCTGTCAGCTCTTGGGGCTCACTCCTCAGACAGTAAATACAAAATCGCCAGAAGACCGTGTTTCTTGGTATGCCACGTCATTTGCCTGCCCCGGGGAAATCCCTGCAGCTCTGGGGTACAAATTGACTCATGAGTGTGGGTTTTCAAAAGAGAAGCTTCACAAGTTGGTTAGGAGGCATCACGAGGCAGCCACTTCCTGCGGCACCCGGGCCAGTGCCTGTTTTAGGGGAGCAGTTGGTGGGTGACTTTCAAAGGGGGAGCTCTTTGAGAATAGGGGCTGGATCTTGTTTGCCTTTGATCCCCGAGGGGGCTGAGAGCAGTGAGTGCTCACCATGCCCTCCTCGCACGGTGAACTTCGTGGGGCTGTGTCCTAGAAGGGCTTCATGAAGAGTTGTATGTCTCAGGTGGCAGGCTCTCTTGGTCGACACATGTTTTGTGTGTCCTCCTAGCCACTGCCTTTTCTCTGCGCAGGTATGTAGGAGTCCCTAGAAGGACATCACAGGGTCCCACACAGACACGTGTTTTAGGACGTTAGGTGGGAGCACAGGGGGAGAGGTGGGCTGAAGAGCTGGGGCCAAATTGGGGCTTGGAGAGTAGCATCATGGACGGAGGGGCAGCTTGAGTGCCGATGGGTGATCCTGAAGAGCTGCCCAGGATTTAGGGTGATGAGCAGCACATTGGGTGCTGAGGGTGAGGACAGGACAGAGGTGTCGGAGCCAAATTGCCTGGGCAGCACAGTGTACAGCGTCGCGTCGGACTGATGTGTGTGGACCCGGAAGGTGCATTTCTAGCAGGTGTGCCGATCGCTGCTGCTGAAGGAGCGCATGGTGAGAACCACTGGCTTAGCGTTTGGGGGCTGGCAGACTCCAGCAGGACAGATGAGAAATACAGTGAACCCTCGTTTATCGCGGTTAATCGGTTCTAGACCCTACCGTGATAAATGAAATTCCGCGAAGTAGGATTCCTTATTT